TACCCTAGGATTAGTAGCTTTTATAGGGTTTAGGGTTTAGGGTTTTAGGGCTTAGCGTTTATTATTTGAATGGTACCCTAGCATTAGTGAGAGAGAGAGAGAGAGAGATATATATATATATATATATATAGGGTTTTAGGATTTAGTTTTTGTTAATGGTACTCTAGGGTTTAGGGTTTAGGTTATTTTGATGGTTCGCTAGTGTTTGGGGTTTTAAAAAAGGTTTAGGGTTTAGGGTAAGGGTATACCATTCTTAGAAAACGGAACCCTGAACACGAGCGTTACTACGGCCGTTTTTCCCGGGCCTTTCCAGCAAGGGCTGGGGTTTCGGATATAGGATCTCTAGGGTTCCGGATCTAAGGTCAAGGGTTTAGGCTTCAGAGTTTAGGGTTTACGGTTTAGAGTCAAGGGTTTAGGACATGCTTTGAGGTTTGGGGCTCTAAACTGATCGTTGTAATCTCTACACTTCACATGAACGAACTTACTTAGATCGGCAAGACAGGCGTTGCAAGCACTGCATATGGTTCTGCAGGATTATCTTTGTTACAGCAGACAACCAGAGAAAATACAACAAATTGACGTGGCCAAGATTCCTCAATACAAGCTACTAAGCCTCAACCCTTCAACACCTACAAAACCCTAACAATCACAAAACGCGAATGTCCAAAACCAAAACCCAGTACAGCTGGCCAACATGGACTCCAATCTGCAGCTCTTGCCTCGTCTCTTCCAGCAAGCCTCCTCGCGAACTGGAGAAGAGTCCGCAGAACGCACCAACACCTGCAGACGAGCAGATAAACAACAAGACTCCATAAATGAGCCTGGAAGTAGCAAAATCAAGAAGAAACAACCTCATATGAACCAAGTACTGCCACGGAGCTGTAGTCCTGCACTGACAACCGTGCTAGAGGGCAGTACTCGTAGTTTACACGCAAAACAGGCCCTACAAGTCCTCATTCGGCCTGGGACGGCTTCGACAAACCTCCAATACAGGTGTATGTATATACATATATAATAATTGTATATGTCTACATACATATATATATATATATGTAAAGACGGAGAGGGAGAGCCGAGGGAGGGAGAGGGAGGGAGGGAGGAAAGGGAGGAGAGGGAGGGAGGGAATATCCTTAGCGCCCAACAGGGCCATCCTCAAGCCTACGTCGAACATGCTCTTTCTGAGAAAAGCACGTGCTACTTCCCCGACTAGCAATACTTCATTGAGGAGCATACCTAAAACAAAACAGGTTGGGTTCGTTTTTCCTAAATACTACGGTGACTGTTTTTAAATATG